GGAATGCAGGCCACAGCGGAGGCTACACATGGGTGCCCCGGCCACAGCGGAGGCTACGCATGGGTGCCCCGGCCACAGAAACTCCCTCGCATCAGTTATTCTCTCTGCAAAATGGGGCCGCACTGCTGCCCCTCGGAGCCCTCCCCCACCCCCGACTTCCACGTGTACAGCCGCAGCCCACACAGTGCTCTCGGGAGCTTCAGACCCACGAACGCAGCTGTTCCGGGGCCTCTCAAAGAGCACGGGTTTTAGTCTTTCTCATCACATACTGTGGCAGAGTAGCTGTAAGCAGGTGACGGCCACGGCCACCAGGATGAGAGTTCCGCCTTTAGCCCCCTCCCCCCGACCCCGCTGCCTTCCCTGGTCTTGCTCTGAGAGAGGGCAGCCGCCAGCTGGCTCAGAAAGACTCCTGATTTGACCCCACAGTCTCGCTGCGTTTTAATGGGTGCACCCCACAACTTCACCTCAGCGCTCTTCCCTCCAGCGTATGGTCTTGGGCTAGAAACGGTCAAGCGTCCCCCTCCGACACCCGTTCCCCCTTCCTCGCTTTCGGAGTCACAGACTCTCTCGATTTTAATTGGGCACAGGACTGCCCCCCCGACAGAAGGAATTTCACAGACTCCCTTGCGGCTGGATAGGGTCCCGGGACCAAGTTCTGGCCAATGGGATGTGAGCGGACGTGACGCGCGCAACTTCTGGGGTTGGCCCGTCACCGGGAGGGACAATGCAACAATGCGACACAAGAGGGAGGGGTGGCGTCTTCTCCTGCCGTCCCCACTTCTTTTTGGCTCGGATTCAGACAAGGGGGTGAGCCTGGGCCTGTCCTGTCACCAAGGACAACCCTCCGGGGATGGCCGGGGACACGACGGGAGGGCCTGGCTCTCGGGTGCTGCACAGCGGCCTGACCTGGACCACGGGGGCGCGAAGCCAGCTTGGGTCTGCTCCAAGCCCTGGCTGTTTCCCGGCTCTCCTAGGGTTGCTGGATTTGTGAATAAAAAATTCTCATTTCTCCCTTTGGAGAGTGCTGCAGGAGGGCACGGAAGATTCTAGAAGAGCAACGAGGGCAGCACAGGAGACCCGGGGGCTCCCAGAGCTTTTCACCAGAGACTGCCCTTTACGACCAGGGATCGCACAGGAAGGCGGGGCGCCCAGCTGACCCTCCCTCCCCCAGGTGATCTGATTCCCGTGAGCCTCAGTCTCTCCTCCCACGTAAACCAACTGAAGGTGCTGGTTTCACAAGTCTTTCTAGCCCCGAACTTCTGTGGTCCTGTAATTCTATGATGGGTGTTGAAACCTGGATTCCAGTGGGGCCAGAGACCCCAATCCTGGGCTCAAGGGTCGGGGTGGGGTGGCGGCGGGCTGCACGATGCGTGCCCTCGGATGCCGGTGGCCTCTGCACTCCCACCTGGCGACATGGGAGTGCCGGATTTCCTATTTTTTCTTTTTCTTTCTTTTTTTTTTTTTTAAAGATTTTATATTATTTGAAAGACAGAGTTACAGAGAGAGGTAGAGACAGAGAGAGAGAGAGAGGGTTTCCATCCACTGGTTCATCCCCAGATGGCTGCAACGGCCGAAGCTGGGCAGATCCGAAGCCAGGAGCCAGGAGCTTCTTCCGGGTCTCCCACGTGGGTGCAGGCGCCCAAGCACTTGGGCCATCTTCTACTGCTTCCCCAGGGCACAGCAGAGAGCTGGATCGGAAGTGGAGCAGCCGGAACTAGAACTGGCGCCCACATGGGATGCTGGCGCTTCAGGCCAGGGCCCCAACCTGCTGTGCCGGCCCCAAGATTTCCTAATTTTTCAAGACAAGCTGGAAATCTGGAAGGCTTTGGTCTGTGTACTCTCCTGATTTTTAAATGCTGGCGACAAATTCACATTTTTCCAAACGCTCTGGGGGCCAAACGAAAATATCTGCTGGCTGAATCTGGCCGGTGGCCACCGGTCGGGGATTTCTGTTTTCATTTTCTTCCTCTCTTCTCCCTTCCTCCCTTCCTTCCTCCCTCCCTCCCTCCCTTCATTTAACAAATGTTTGCTGGCCACCTACTGAGGAGACGCCGCTCTATGCACTGTGGACAAAGCACTGGACACGCGTGGGGAGAGGTCCCCGTCCTCCTGCAGCTTCCCGTTCCCGCTCGTCCCGACTCTGCTCTCCCACGAGCAAGGCTGTCCCAGGCACCGTGCGTGGTTGGGATTCAAACGACACACGCGTGGCCCGTGTCCTGCTCACGCGTGTGGCCTACGGGGGAGGCGGATGCTAAGTGAACAGCTGTGATGGAGATGAAAAGAACTCACAGGGACGGACACTGTTTAGACGGAGGGCAGTGGTGGTCTGGGTACTAGGGTGGAAGCTACGTGTGCACTCGGGCCCGGGGCAGGCATTGGCACCTACGATGCCTGCGTCGTCCCAGCTCTGATTCCAGCTTCCTACAAGACGCATGATGGGAGGCGGCAAGTGGTGATTCGAGTGGCTGAGTCCTGTACCCATGCGGAGACCCAGGGTGGAGTCTGGCTTCGGCCTGGCCCGGCTCTGGGTGTTGTGGGCATTTGGGGAGTGAATCTGTGCCTGGAAGATCTGCCTGTCTCTCTGCTTCTGCCTTTCAACTAACTACTAAACAAGAACTGAAAGATAAGTAGGGCTGAAGCCAGCGAAAGAATGTTCTAGAATATTCTGGATCTAGGCAAAGGCCTTTCCCCAGACTCCCTCAGCTGGCACCATGCCCGTACGTGCAGAGCCCTTCGATGGGGAGCGCCCATGGTTCCCTAGCCCGAGGCTTTCTTGGGGCCTGAGGCTCAGGGAGGTTCCAGCCCTGGAGAAGCCTCCTACCCACGATGGAAGGAAGGGGATTTGTGGGTAAATTCCCACGCCCACGCCCACGCCCCCACCAGAGCCGTCAGCTCCGAGCTGTGCCCTCTACGGGCTGCAGGGGTCGCTGTGGGTGCCCCGGCCGCCCCGTGGGATGGTCCAGCCTCCTGGGCTGGCTTCCTTCCCTCCCTCTTCACTTTTCTGCCCAGCACCCAGGTGTCCCAGGATCGCCTCCCAGATTCCCGTGCTCAGTCCTTGTGTCAGGGTCTGCTTCTGGGAGAAGCCGGCAGAACAGGGGAGAACACGGCAGACAGGAGGTCAGAAAACCACTGGGGGAGGGAGGGGGAGACTGGCGAGGGGGCAGCAGCTGCCCAGGAAGGGCCCCCGAGGCGGGGTAGGGTCTCCCTGGGGAAGCTGTGGACGACTGCTCAGCGTGGGGGTGACACGGCCAAGCTTGTGTTCAGCATGACCCTGCCTGGGACAGCGGAAGTGCGGTGAGCGGACAGGAGGCCAAGCCAGAGGCGAAGGTGGCAGTGATGAGGAGTGCGGCTGGACAGGGGTGGCCGCGACTCGGGATGACATGGGCTGGGGCACGGGGGCCCAGGGACATGCTCTGGGCCTTGTCCCTGTGTTGGGGAAGACTAAAGTTTGGTTTCAGGAGTGGCGGTGGGACACAGACGCAAAGATCGTGTCCCGGGGCCAGTGCTGATGCGGAGGGGTAAAGCTCCCGCCTGTGGTGCTGGCATCCCACATGGGCCCTGGTTCGAGTCCCGGCTGTTCCATTTCCGATCCAGCTCTCTGCTATGGCCTGGGAGAGCAACAGAAGATGGCCCAAGCCCTTGGGCCTCTGAACCTGCGTGGGAGACCTGGAAGAAGCTCCTGGCTCCTGATCGGCTCAGCTCCAGCCATTTCGGTCATTTGGGGAGTGAACCCGTGGATGGGAGACCTCTCTCTGTCTCTCCCTCTTCCTATTTGTGACTGCCTCTCACATAAGGAGATACATATTTTTAAAAAATCATGCCCCAAAGCCACCAGGCACTGCACGACCCCGCAGAGCGAGGGGACTTCAGAGAGCGCTGTGTCCGCATGTCTCAGGGAAGTGACCTGAGCAGGGTGGTGGGTGGGCGATGCACCGAGGGCCCCTGAGGTTGCCCAGTGGCGTTCCCAGTGGCTCCCGGCTCTGCCCCCTTTCCCTAAGCGGACAACCCGAACCACACGCGGGTGCTGCTGGATGTGGTAATGCATTCCGGTGCGGCAGCAGGTTTCTGCACCCCCAACACCACCTTTATATTCTTTACAGCAGAGCGGCAGACGATAAATCCATCTCGCTAATTACACACCCAGCTTGTTACAGCCCCCATAAAAACCACGCGCAGCTGGGAAAGCCATGAGGCGGTGTCAAGTCGTAGTCCTGGTCTCTAAACAGAAACAGAAACACTTTCCAGGCGCTGGCGAGTCTCAAGGTTCCTACCGGGGCGTGGAAGCAGCTGCCCCAGAGGTCACTCACCTTCCAGGAGGTGACAAGTGACAGTCCTCTTAAGCACCGCCCGCCCCCCGCATGTCCGCTCCAGAGACAGCAGATGCGGGGAGGGGCGCCCACTGTGGTCTGTTGAGAATCTCGAGGGGTGAACGCTGGGCTTCAGCAGCTGCCTTCGTCACCGCCCGGAGCATTTGCCCAGAATTCCACCTGGCTGCTTCCCCGACACAGTTTGCCCCGAGATACGTTTGCAAAGCTGTCGCTGGGGTGCGTGCCGGAGCTGACAGTGCCTCCCCCTCGCCTCAGAGAAAGGGAAGGAAAATGGAATTCGTTCGGCGGAGGCGAGGTGCTAAGCTAACCACCAGGGAGGAAAAGTACGCCCCCCCCCCCCGGTGTCCAGCTGGGATTACTGTTGCTGGCCATCGTGGGTCCTAGCCCTTTGAGGCAGAAACCAGCTAAGGCCGCGAGCTTGTAGCCGACCAAGGAAATGCTGATCACACGGCGTGTTGGAATAAAAGGCGTGGGAGACGATCGCTAATTAAATTTTCACATGTCAGAGGAAAATTCCAGTTTTGCAAACCCAGGCTGACCTAACGGGGCAGCTTTTGTTGGAGAAGCGGCCTCACAAAGCAGCTCCCATAATTCCCAGGACCAACTGGCTGGACAGAGTCAGGTTTGGAAAAAAAAAAAAAAAAAAAAAAAGAAGACAAAGTGGATTCTTACCTTCCCGTATCTGGATGCAAAAGTCCCCGTGAGTAAGGAGTGAAAAATAATTATTGTCTCATCCAAGTCCCACACGAACACACGCTGTGATGAAAGAGGAAGAGAACAGACCAATGGACTCGCTTGCATCTGACTTAACGTCTGCAGAAATTAACTCCCTGGGCGGAAAAGAAGCCTTGAACAAGATTCAGTTATAAACCGGCTCAGTGATGCCGGGCGACTCCCCCGACCAGATGTGCGCCGTGTGTTCTGATGGATAGATTTTGGGCTCCCATCAACCCCACAGATGCCAGAACCAAGAAGCCCGATCTTGCCTTCCGCAAAAAAAAAGCTCAGAAAAGGAGTTCTGTCCAAAAACAACAATAAAAATCAAATAACTCATTGGACACCGTGCAGTACTGCCATTTTAATCCACCGCGCACCACAGGGCCAACTATTCCTAATCATGTCTGCTCTCGGTGAGCCTGCTGATTGCCTCCGTGATTCTGAGTGGCGTACGTATCCCTTTACAAGTTCAATGAGACCCTTGCAAGCGCGCTGCCTCCAGGTGAGGGTTTGACTCGTGGTCGTCTCTCCGTTTCTCTGGGACCTCACATCTCCCCCGATGTCCAGTTCCCTCAGCTTTGGGCTGATGGTGACCCCAATGCAGCAGACACGGATACTGGCAGCCCCCCCTGTCCTCTGCTCCCTTTGCTCTCCAACAGCCATCGGGTCAGACCGACTGCTGTACTGACAGTGTGGGTGAAATGGCTGGCACGTTATCACCAGAATCCCATTTTCTGTTCTCTGTCTAAACGCTGATGCTTAAGGATTTAATTTATTAATTATTATGAATGGATGAATGAGAGAAAGAGAGAGAATACACAAAAGGCATCTTTCATTTGCTGCTTCACTACCCGAATGGCCACAAGGGCCAAGCCACAGCCAGGAGAGCAGAGCGCCCTCTGTGTCTCCCACGAGTGCAGGGGCCCAAGCACTCGGGCCGTCTTCTGCTGCCTCCCCAGGCACATTAGCAGGGAGCCAGAATGGGAGTGGAGCAGCTGGGACTCAAAGTGGCACTCCTATGGGATGCTGCAGTCACAGGTGACGGCGTACCCCACTGCACCCGACACTGGCCCTGTCCTGAAATTTCACGAGGCCACATGAAGGTGTCGTTCTCTTTAAACTCAAGCTGTTCAGCACTCGAGGGCACGTTTAGCCCAATGACGTGCATGTTTTTACAGCCCCGGAAGGTTTTTCTTCTTCTTTCTTAAGACACTCCTGCCCTATTTTCCACTGCTTCCTCTTTCTGGAATTCCCAGTCGTCCAGTGAAGTGGATTCTCCTGCTTCTCTTCTCAGACACCACTCTGGGACTGTCCTGTGACCTGTGTTCTAGCAGACGGCTCACGCTTCCTCTTCCACTCCTCCAGTTCCGATCCTGCCATCGTCTTAGCTTTCCTCTGAGTGTTCCTGCCGCAGCTCCTGCTTCTCCCTATCGGGACGCTCGGTCTCCTGGCATCTTTGTAGAAAATCAACCGGGATTCTTCCAGCCCGTCTCTCATAACTTAGGTTGTTTCTCAGTCACCTTACTTATCAGGCTTCACCTTTACTTCTCATACTCTTTCTGGTGAGCGCTATTTTAAAGAACAAAAGACCAGGCCGGCGCCGTGGCTCACTAGGCTAATCCTCCGCCTGCGGCGCCGGCACACCGGGTTCTAGTCCCAGTCGGGGTGCCGGATTCTGTCCCGGTTGCCCCTCTTCCAGGCCAGCTCTCTGCTGTGGCCAGGGAGTGCAGTGGAGGATGGCCCAGGTGCTTGGGCCCTGCACCCCATGGGAGACCAGGAGAAGCACCTGCTCCTGGCTTCAGATCAGTGCAGCGCGCCGGCCGCAGCGCGCCAGCTGCAGTGGCCACTGGGGGGTGAACCAATGGAAAAGGAAGACATTTCTCTCTATTTCTTTCTCACTGTCCACTCTACCTGTCAGAAAAAAAAAAAAAAGAACAAAAGACTGGAACACCTCTGTAACTGGTGTCGGGGAGCGAGGTTAATGCTCCCACCTATTCTGCCCTCACCAAAGGGCCACCTCCTAAAACGCTCTGAGGACGGTGGCTCCATGGCCACAGGCAACAGCCTCTGTTTGCAGAAGTGAGAGGTGCCCCAGATGTGAGGGCGCGCAAGTCCCAGGGGGGAAGCTCGCAGCAATCAATAAGGCTGGGTATTGTCTCAGGACTTTTGTGTAGGATGCTCTAGGTTTTGGTATGGGATACACGAAGGTACTTCAAGAAGTTCATGGAAAATTGGAATTAGAAGATACGTTTATTTGGATGCAAAAACAATTTGAAAACTAGCATTGGGGGAAGCCTTCTGAGGTTAGGATATCCCAAGCCCTAACTTCTTGGGACTTATTTAACTAACTGGGTTGGACTCAGAAATTTCAGGAATAGAATTTTTTTTTTATTAATAAGCAAATATTTCTGAACTTAGTATAGGCTCTGTTAAGCACCCACTCGTGTCCTCTGAGGAAGAGGGTCTGATCCTCTCCACATATCTTACAGCCTGTTGCTTGCCCAGGATTCTCAGTGGGCGAGTTCCTGGTGGCCGTGCTGTGGGCGGCCCCGATTCCTAGGCCACCATGGTTTGGGCCAGGATGGGTTCCTAGCCATAGGGGGTCAGGGGTCTTTCCCAGGAGCCTTCCATGAAAGTCACCGTCCCTGGGGAACTGCTGGTGGCCCGCTGACTCTGAGACGCGTAAGCAAGAACAAGGCCACGGAGAGCAAAGGAAGAGGTCACGGTCAGAAAGAGAACCCAACACAGATCAGGACCAGGGCGCGCGTGGGCGCAGTGCGGTCGGGTGCGGAGGGCCTGCAGGAGCACTGTGCCCGGTCACCAGCACACGGGGACAAGTGCAAGGGCATTGCTGTTGGGGGCTTCAGCAGCCTCACCACCTCTGACTCCTGGAAGATTCCAGAATCCCGAGGTATCCCACTGGGTGCCTGCCCTAGGGCTCTGAGAGTCTCCACACCCTTAAAGTCAACTCTGCTTTTCCACTTAAGTGAGTGCACGCTGGTCTCTGGCACCTGCAGCTGAGGGTTCTAACTAATAGACGCTCAGAGTTTCCCTCCTTTCCACTCTGACATAATTCCTCTCCCCTGGGCTTCGGTCATTTGCGCAACTGCCGAAGACTTAAGAGGTGCGACCCAGGCAGGGCCGCCTGCTGACATTAAGCAAGGAGTGAAACACGACTCACACCTCTCCCACTGTTCTTGCCCAGTGGTCCTTGCTCTGCAATGGAGAAGCAGATGTTTCCAGATAATATCACCCTCTAATCCCTGGCTTCCATGCCACAAACTCTCCCCTCCTCCTTCTTGGCTTAATGGAAAAACGTCTCTTCACTCTCAGTGCTGCCAAGAGCAGAAGCCACAGCAGGCGGCTGGGCAACTTTCTGGAGAGTGGGGGACTTTTTGTTGAAGATTTATTCATTTATCTGAAAGTCAGAGTTACAGAGAGGGAGGGAGGGAGGGAGAGACAGAGAGACAGAGAGACAGATCTTCCGTCTGTTGGTTCACTCCCCAGATGACCTCAACAGCCAGGGCTGGGCCAGGCCAAAGCCAGGAGTCAGGAGTTTCATCCGGGTCTCCCACATGGGTAGCAGGGGCCCAAACAGCCGGGCCATCCTCCGCTGCTTTTCCCAGGACATCAGCAAGGAGCCAGCTAACTTTGTCCTAGCCTTCTGCAACGGCCTGAGCCCACTGAAGGGACTGTGCACCTTCTCTCTCAGGATGAGGGGAAAGCGAGAACAGACTCCCATGGAGTGAGGATGGTCCCTGGGCAGGGGCAATACCTGGTCTGGGGCAGGTGCCTAGGGTCAGGCTGCCGGCATTCCTCAGGAGGGTGACCACGTGCAGGGTCCCCACAGACGATCGGCTGAGACTCCGGCCACAAGCGGCTGCTGCAGCCGTATTAGCAGGTACTGGGTACCAATGCCCCGGACGGCCACTGTCTGGATGCCCCAGCATCCACCCCAGTCTTCTAAGAGCATCCTGATTTTCCTTCCTGGCTGTGTGCAGTCTCGGTGGAAGTGTCAACCAAGGGGCAGGCAGAAGACTCAAGCCAGGCCCACGGGATGCCGTCTCCCTGGAGTGCGATGTTGGGCGAGATGGTGCTGGCATCACAGATGGTTCTCCCTCCAGCCGGGGCTGGCACCTCGCAGCACTGCCTCTGTCTCTTTCTCTCTAAACTCGGTTCTGTCGTCTCCTGGCCATGTCCTCTCCCAGCAGGCTCCTTGTGGCTTACGTAACCAGCACTGTGGTCTGCTGTTTGCGACCAAAGGACTGCGGCTAAGACTTGAGGGTTCTTGGGCTCCGCGAGGATCCCCGTGCCCAGTGTCTGCCACGGAAGCTCTTGAGAGCGGCTGCACTTTGAGCGCCGGAGGCTTTGATACTGGGGAGGGAGCAGCAACCGAGCCACACCGGACCCGAGAGGCCCTTCTGTTTTGAGACCGCTTGAACCTCTGCCTCTCACACAACTGTGGCAGAAGGGCCCCGACGGTGAGAATTTCCTAATCCCTGGGAGGGTGCGCATTCAGAGTTAAAACGACATTGATTTTTAAGGAAACGATGAAGATGACACTTCTTACATATCTGAGTGTCTGACCGAGCTTTCGGCTGCTGGATAAAGTGTACAGAATTACGTACAAACGGGGGCGAGACGAGGATGCTCGGACACTGCCCAGTACTGACCCAGGCTTTGCTGTTCTGCCCACGCACCTGCAGCCCACTCAACACACGCGGGAAGCTGCCCATTTCTCCTTGAAAGGTCACAGTCACTTCCACCTATTTATCATTTTGGCATCCATGTTGCCATGGTATCATTATATGCCCCACCCCCCATATGCTCTTTTTTCTCTGGCGGGGTGGGGGAGGGTGAATTTCAGTGTCTGACCAATCATCCTACACTTGCTTTGTTAGAATAAAGATTGGTGCATCCCTAGACCAGTGGTTCTCAGCCTGGAATCCTCTGGGGAGGGTCACTAACGCTGATGCTGGGGTCCTGCTGAATCAGCCTGGGGTGCCGCTGGAGAATGAAGGCGTCGCCAGGCTCCCCACGTGGTTCTTTTTTTTTTTAATTATTATTTGATAGGTAGAGTTATAGACAGTGAGAGAGAGAGACGAGAGAAAGGTCTTCCTTCCATTGGTTCACCCCCTAAATGGCCGCTACGGCCGGCGCCTGCGCCAATCCGAAGCCAGGAGCTAGGAGCCAGGTCCTTCCTCCTGGTCTCCCATGCGGGTGCAGGCCCCAAGTACCTGGGCCATCCCCCACTGCCCTCCCAGGCCACAGCAGAGAGCTGGACTGGAAGAGGAGCAACCAGGACTAGAACCTGGCACCCACATGGGATGCCGGTGCCGCAGGCGGAGGATTAACCAAGTGAGCCACGGTGCCGGCCCCCACAACGTGGTGCTAGCGTGCAGCCCAGGCCGGCAAGCATTGTCCGAGTCACTCGGCATCACAGAAGCCGCACACACACTGGAGCCAGCCCGCAGGTGGGTAACCATCTCAGCCATACGGCAGTCAGCAAGGGACCTTGTAGAACTGTCCCCAGCACAGAAACCCAAACACAAGCCGCAAACCCCCCAAATAGAACAAACAGAAACCAAACAACCAAACCAACAAGGGGCCAGCATTGAGGCGCAGGCTAGGCTGCTGTGGGGGACACCGCATCCCATATCAGAGCGGTTTGAGGCCTGGCTTCAGGTCCAGCTCCCTGCTGATGCACACGGGAAAGCAGTGGGTGATGGTCCAAGGATTAAGGTCCCTGGCCCCACGTGGGAGACCTGGATGATGGAGTTCCTGGCTCAGACCTGCGTCCTGCGGCCATTTGGGGAGTGAACCAGCGGATGGAAGATCTTTCTCTCTTCCAGCTTCTCTTTCAAATAAATTAATTAATCTTAAAAAAATAAACTATCCCCAGCCCTCCCAAAGTGTCTCTGCATGGTCTGGGATGGGGCCTGGTATCTGTATTTCACAAAGCAGCCATGGTTCTGACATCGCCAGGGCTAGGGACCACCCGAACCCCGCTGAAGGCCCTGCCTGCTGCCTTCTTTACCCGAGGCCCTTGGAGTGCGGGCCCAGGCCCAGAGCCTCAGCATCACACAGGACGTTTGGAGATGCAGTCTCAGGCCCTGCCTGTCTCCTGGGGAGCCCGGGGTGGGGGAGGCAGCAGTGGATATGCCCCCACCCCGGCAGGTGCCTCTGACTCCCCTCCAGCCCAAGAACCTCTGCTCTGCACAGCCCCAGGGTCAGCCTTCTCCACCCGGTCAGGCAGCCATGCTCACCCCACAGCTCCGCCCCCTCTCCCATCTCCGGCCCTGTGACTGGCCAACGCAAGGCGCCACGTCCCCTTGTGCTTGGAGGCAGCTCGGCCCCCACCAGTCTGTTTGGGCCTTGTGCACCACTGACGTCCACTGGCTTACCTCTATCTCGCTGTCCCCCGCTGGGGAGGGGTCGCTGCCCCTCTTGGACCGGCCCCGGAGCTTCCCGTCGGAGGCCCGATGCGGCCTGTCTGTGTCCCCTTCTTTGGCTGGCGTGGAAGGTCCGTCGTGTGTGTTGTATTCACCTGGGGAACGGGAGGCAATGGGGGGCAGATCAGAAGCTTTGCTGGCGTCTTCTCCAGGGTGGCATCACACCAGCGCCATCTCACTCTGACATGAAGTAGCATCCAAGGCCAAGGCCAAGGCCACAGTCACACTGAATCAAGACCACTCCTGAAAGTTGCTTAAGTGACCCATTCGTGCCAATATCTTTCATCCAGCAAACAAGTACTTGTGGAGCAGGCACTGCTCCGGGCGCTGGGGGGTGTGGCCTCATTCTCACGGCATTTAAATTCTAGTGAGAGGAGAGACATCAAAGAAACAGGTGTGCACACTGTGTCTGGTGGAAGTCTGCGTTGCACAGAGCCAGGAAGCCAGGGTGGGGAGCATGGGGTGCTGAGACCACTACTCCATACGGCACTGGCCAGGGAAGGCTTCAGGGGGCGGGGACACCGGAGCAGAGGGCCTTAGCGAGAGGGGCTACAGTGACAGGGGGCATAGCTTTGTATTCCTAGATTAACAGATGGAAGAAACCACTCATCAGGGGTCTCCAAAAAGTTGACAGAATGTGCGTATGAAGAAGATGCCACACACGGATTTCCAACTTTTTTGCACCAAAATAAATTCATCTTTTATTCCATCCTCCCCCCCCCACCACGTTTTGGAAGCCCCCTCGTATTCCTATGCAGCTGGGCATCAAAGTCTCTGGGCTTAAAGAGACCCCCTGACACGCAGAGGTGAAGGAGGGGTGTGTGGGGAGAGGACCCCGTGTTCCTCTCCCTACAGGGCCGCACCACTGTCCAGGAGAAAAGAGTTGTTTATGCTTTGCAGGAGGGTGCACCCGCTGATTCTGACCACGCTCAGGCTCTTGGCTGTGGCTGCCATGCGCCCGCCCTCGGGCAACTGTCAATCAGCCCCAACTGAGCGGAGCAGCCTGTCCGGGCCGCAGGGGCTCTGGCAGCACCGGAGCTGGGCCGTGACTGGTAAGGCCCTAGGTTTGCACTCACGGGCTCTTCCCAGACTTTATCATCTACTGAGTTATCCAGGGAACCCGTGCTCAGCCAGGTGCCTATACTCGCTCACGTGTCCCGCAAATCTGTGGCAACATCCGGGCCTGTCCTTGCCACCAGAGAGGGCCAGGGCTGTAAGCCGGTGTGGAACCTCGGAGGGCTGCCCACTGCGCTTGCTTTTCAGCCGCTTGATTTCGGTCCCACACGCACCCCGCGGACGCCGTCTCACCGTCCGTGATCTCCAGTTCTTGGATCATCAAGGGGAAATGCCTTTGTGTAAGAATACTTGGCGATGGCCTCGTTTTTGTCTATTCTGGAAGGGCCATTTCCCGCCAAAGCCCAGGGGACTCAAATCTTGTTTATTTAATATTTATAAAACTCCTTAGCAGACTCAGGCCGTAATAAGCAAAGACGTGACTGGGCTGCCAGGCAGGCTGGGCGCTCTCCAGCTCCCCAGCGTTTGCTGAGGTTCCCAGACACGGAACTCGTAGAGACTTTCTTCTGGAGAAAGGATTTCTGCTCGGTCCACCAGTGCCGCAAGCAACGTAAATACGGTTTATCTTGATTCACTTGGTCACTGAAAGCCACTGGGGCTGAGAAAAACACTTGTTGCCCCTGTGAACACCCAGGCAAATATGAAAAACAGAGAGAAATGCCAGTTACCTAACAGATGTCTAAAATACGGCTGCGAGAAGCTAAGGAAGCAGGAATTCAAAAAATCAACCAAGGGCTGGTGCTGTGGCGTAGCCGGTAAAGCCACCGCCTGCAGTGCCGGCATCCCGTATGGGTGCCATTTCAAGCCCCGGCTGCTCTACTTCCAATCCAGCTCTCTGCTATGGCCTGGGAAAGCAGTAGAAGGTGGCCCAAGTTCTTGGGCCCCTGCACCCACATGGGAGACCCGGAAGAAGCCCCTGGCTCCTGGCTTCGGAACAGCACAGCTCCAGCTGATGTGGCCATCTGGAGAGTGAACGGATGGAAGACCTCTCTCTCTCTGCCTCTCCTTTTCTCTCTGTGTAACTCTTTCAAGTAATGAAAATAAATCTTTAAAAAAAAAACCAAAACAACCAACTAACCAACCAACCAACCAACCAACCACAGGCAGCCCTTTACCCAACTTCACACATTTTTGAGAAATGAAATTCAAGTTCAAGGTCACAGACAGAGGCTCATGGGACTCAGTGATTTCTGGAAACACTTTTTGGAGTCCTTTTACGCTTGCTTCTCCTCCCTTTTAATGGGTTTACTTATTTCACAGCTTTATTGAGGTGTAATTGACATAGATCACATGGGTTTACTGGGCCCAGTTTCAGTTTTGACACCCGCGTGTTCTATGAAACCCAAATCACGGTCCATGTCATGGGCAAATCCCACGACCGCAAGAGTTTCTTGGGATCCTTTCCTCCCGTTTCCCTCCCAGGCACCCAGATCAGCTCCCCTTGTCGCAGACCAGCGTGCGTTTCCTGGAGCTCCGTTAGGCTTCTTCCGGTCAGTGTGATGTTCTGAGGTTTGTTTTTTTTTTTTTTTTTTTTGACAGGCAGAGTGGACAGTGAGAGAGAGAGAGACAGAGAGAAAGGTCTTCCTTTGCCGTTGGTTCACCCTCCAATGGCCGCCGCGGCCAGCGCGATGCGGCCGGCGCACCGCGCTGATCCGATGGCAGGAGCCAGGAGCCAGGTGCTTTTCCTGGTCTCCCATGGGGTGCAGGGCCCAAGCACCTGGGCCATCCTCCACTGCACTCCCGGGCCACAGCAGAGGGCTGGCCTGGAAGAGGGGCAACCGGGACAGAATCCGGCGCCCCGACCGGGACTAGAACCCGGTGTGCCGGCGCCGCTAGGCGGAGGATTAGCCTAGTGAGCCGCGGCGCCGGCCTTGTTCTGAGGTTTGGTCCTCTGCAGGGCTGAGAGCCACTCTTCCGAGGGCACAGACCACCAGCCCCTGTGCGGCTCTTCCGAGGACACAGACCACCAGCCCCTGTGCGGCTCTTCCGAGGACACAGACCACCAGCCCCCGTGTGGCTCTTCCGAGGGCACAGACCATCAGCCCTTGTTCAGCTCTTCTGAGTTGAGTGCAGGTACAGATGGCGCCACCTGGAGCGTTTGCACACCAGTCTTGCCATGGACGTAAATTCTCCTTTTCAATGAGTGTGACCGCTGAGTCATGTGGGAAGCCACCTTTTGGGAAATGGCTGGATCGCTCTTCCAAGTGGCTGACCTCTCAGCCCCGCCTCCAGCTGCTCCACCTCTGTGCCTGCCTGGGGATGGCCAGGCTTTGTGATTCAAGCCATTCTAGAAGGTATGCGGTGGTGGCTAGCGGTGGGTTTAACCGCCATTTCTCTAATGAGAATGCAGTCTAGAGATTCTGCATCTCACTCATGTGCTATTTTGCCACCCCTATACCTTCCTTGCTGAATCTCTGCTCATTTTGCTTATTTCTTTATGGAGCTGGCCATTTTCTTATTACTGGTTTTAAAACATGGTTATTTATTTATTTTCATCTACTTTAAAAGGAGGGGGGAGAGAGACACACAGATCGACAGGGATCTTCTATCCTCTGGTTCACTTTCCAGATGCCCAGGGCTGGGCCAGGCTGAAGCTAGGAACCCAGAACTCCATCTGGGTCTCCCATGAGGGTAGCAGGGCCCCACGTCCCTGAGCCCCTCTGCTGCCTCCCAGGACTCGTCTGCAGGGGGCTGAACAGAAGCAGAGCAGATGCGTGAGCGGTCTCCTGGGTACCAGCTCCTGAGTGTGTCCTCGTCACTAGCAGCACTCGCCTGGCTCTCCCGGGCTGCACTCTGATGACCAGATGGTGACGGGATGTTGTGGGGACACAAACATTGTGCCCGTGGCATGATGAAGAAAGACATCTGCCACCTTCCACTCCGCGTTTGGAGTTTTTGGAACAGGTGATGGTCAATTTTTTGCACATTTATTGAGACAATCTTTCCCCTAGTTTGCTAGTATGAATACTTATAATTGACTTTCAAATTATTAAACCTTGCAGCTCTGGTATAAACGCCACTTGGTCATGATATACAGAAGTAGTATCCTTTTAAAGTATAATTTTGGACTTGATTTGCTAATATCTTGCTTAGACATTGTGACGATCTGTAGTTTCTTGCAGTTTTTGCCTGGTTTTGGCATGAACTTAATTCTGGTCTCTCAGAATCAGATGAAAAGTTTGCCTTCCTCCCTAATTTTATTTTCAAAACAAACTTCATGTACTTAAAAGGTAGACAGAGAGAGACTGTCCACCTGCTGGTTTACTCCTCAAATACCCTCACCAACCAGTGCTGGGCCAGGCCAAAGCCAGGAACCCGAAACTCAACCCAGGTCCCCTACATGGGTGGGGGGACCCGGGTACTTGGGTCACCTGCTGCCTCTCAGGGTGTGCGCTGGCAGGAAGCTGGGGTCTGAAGTGGAGCTGGGACCCGAGTCCAGGTGCTCTGATTCAGGATGCAGGCAACCCCAAGCCAATGGCCACTCTCCTCTTCAACGTTCTCGATGAGCTTGTGTAGAACTTGTATTTCTTACTCAAATGTTCCGTAGAATTGATCACTGAAGTCACCTGGCGTGGCATTTTCTTTGAGAAGATTTTTAATAACAAAATCCATTTATGGAAGACGTGGAGGCCCATTAGGTTACCTCTCTCTTCTCCATGAGGGACAGTAGTACTTCACCTACAAGGAATCTGTCTCTTCTGAGTTGTTCAGTCTTCCTTAGGGAGTTTACGAGAGGGCCCTATCACCCTGCAGGAGGTCCATGGGGGGGGGCGCTATCACCCTGCAGGAGGTCTGTGGGGGGGGCGCTATCACCCTGCAGGAGGTCTGTGGGGGGGGGCGCTATCACCCCGCAGGAGGTCCGTGGGGGGCGCTATCACCTTGCAGGAGGTCTGCGGGGGGGCACTATCACCCTGCAGGAAGTCCATGGGGGGCGCTATCACCCCGCAGGAGGTCCGTGGGGGGCGCTATCACCCTGCAGGAGGCCCACGGGGGGGGGGTGCTATCACCCTTGTGAGATCCCGGCACTGTCACCTCCCTCACTGTTGGTCATTTACATTTTCTTTCACACCCACCAGCGGGTCTAGAATTTCACCAATTTTATTGATCTACTTCAAGAACCAGCTTCTGGTTTCACGGATCTTTTGCTATTATTTTTCTGTTTTCAGAATTTAGTGATTGCCATTCTGATCTTAATTATTCCCCTTCTGCTTGCTTTGGGCTTAATTCGCCTTTCTTTTTCTAGTTTGTTGAAGGTGGAAGATGGGGTCTTTGTTTTGTAACCTTTCTCCTTTCCCCACACAGGCATTTAGGGCCATAAATCTCCCTGCAAGTACAGCTTTAATGGCATTCCATAAATTTTGATATGCTATGTTTTTATTTTCATTCAGTTCAAAGTACTTTTTAATTTCCCTTTGATTTTGTCTGTGACCCATGGGTTATTTAGAAGTGTGTTATTTAGCTTCCTAACAGTGGAGAAAGTTCCAGAAATCTTTCTTTCATACTGATTTAGTTCTACTGCTGTCAGGAACACCCTTTGAATGCCCTGACTCCTTTCAGACACACGAAGCCTGTTTTATGGCCCTGAACTTGAGTCTACCCTGGCAAATGTCCGAGGTGCCCTTGGAAAGCAACGGGCATTTGCGCTGTTGCGGGGGGGGGGGTGTCCTTAGGTTGATACAGTCTTTCCCTTTCACTTCAGAACCCCAGTTTTCCGTTCTAGAGAACGCAACTCTAGATAGTTGCTTTTGCATACTTCTAGACATTTCCAACGCAAAGATGGGTGTTATCCTGCACTTATACCTTAGAAAAACCCAGGCTCACATTGCGCACAAGTTTTCTTCTTGCTGGGTTTCCTCACCCACCACAATAGCTCAACAAGAAATCCATGTTAGCCCAGATATATCACCCTTCCTCGTTTTTTTTTTAAATTAATTTTTGAGAGAGACAAATGGACAAAGAGGAAAAAGAGAGAAAGAGACAGATGAGAGAGAGAGAGAGAGAGAAAGGGAGAGGCAGATAAAGAGAAAGATAGACACAGAGAAAGAGAGGGAGGGAGGGAGGGAGGGAGGGATACTTCCATCCTCCCGTTCACCCCCCAAATGCCCTCAATGGCCAGCAGGGAGCCAGGACTCCATCTGGGTCTCCCGCAGGGGTGGCAGGAACCCAGCCACTTGAGTAGTCAGCATTGCCTCCCAGGATCTGCCTTAGCAGGAAGCTGGAGTCAGGAGCCAGAACTGGGAATCAAATCTGGGTCCTCTGACATGGGATGTGACCACTGGAACCCGCCAGGCTAAACACCTGTCCCATGACTTACTCTAAAGCTGCACTGCGTGCCAGTGGCTGCTGTTAATGGCTTTCCAGTCTTCTGCCACGATGATGTCACAGTAAGTACTGTTTTTACTCACGTGTCTATTCCTACGTGGGAGTTTAGACAAAACCTTAGAAGCAGAATAGTTGGGTTGAAGGACACACACACTTTAACTGTGCTGCATGTTGCCACACTGCACGGAAAGAGCTTCAAGTCTCTTCTTGAGAGAATAAAATCATTCTTCTACTGATGGAGGGAGGTGATCTAAGAAGTTAAAGGCTTCAGCTTCTTCTTAGATGGTTTGTGTTATACTTAAAAATGTAAGACGTCCTTCAGCAATCACTACGGTTTGTTTTCCCTTTTGAGTAGAGCCGGGAGTTCAGGCTTTGCCCTGATCAGGAGGTGTGGATGCGGGCACTCACAGAAGTGTCCCTGCACCTGCAGCGTGCGTGGGGCCTGGGGGCTTGGTGGCGCAGTGCGGACAGCATCAAGATGGCATCTCCAGGCGGTGCCGATGGTGAGTGGGGCTGGGGTCAGAAACACACAGACCCTGAGCCTCTGTGGTTTAGTCAGCTCTCAAGGCAGCCTGGGTAATTTCAGAAGTGGAGCTTTTGTGGGAAACATTACAAGAGTGCACATGTGTGCACAGGCATCTTGCACACACACATGTACACACACGCATGTACCCACGTGCACACTTTCAGGCCCTGTATAACCGACATCAGGGACTAGAGGCCAGAGTCCTTGGTTACAGCTGACAGCTATTTACGTCATCAGGTTTTACGCGAGCTTGTTAGACACACAGTTAAAACCATCTCAGCACTTATTGTTGAACCGTAGACCGAGGGATGAATGAAGAACAGAGGGAAGCAATAAAGCAAAATTCCGAAGAGACACAAGGAGCCTTGACCTTCCCGCTGCCCCAAGTTCCTGAGAAGTGCACCTGTGATTACTCAGTGGCCTCTCCTTCAAGATTTCCTGCTAATATTTCGGCCCTGCCCTAACTTCTCATCAGTCTTGGTTTCACTCACTTGCTGAAATTAGTTTGGAGAGGCAAGAGGCCAAGAGAAGTTTGCTAGACTTCTTGTCCTACAGAGAGAGCCATTTGGAAGCTGTTGAATGGGTACTGTGCGTCCACTCCACGTTCTCGGAGGAGGTCACATGACCCAAATCGGTGCTCAGCCCAAGAGTAACCAACTCACGCCAACTGCTGGAGCACGCAAGAGCTCACATCATGAATACACCAAGAACCCAGGAAGAAGAGAGGTGGGTCTTGCCTGTTCCTTTTGCAACCATCAACCAACTGATATTTATTAATGGATGTCCACGCACCAGCACGCCAGCTTAGCTTCCGCAGCATCAGCAGAATCAGAGAAAACGACAAAATAGCAAAACTCAATTTCACGTGGACACTTTAACCGCTGCTGTGTTATTCGCCGGGATAAGTCCAAACCCCATCCTAACAGAGGGACCACGTGCGTAGTAGCAGATTTGGGAATGCACGTGGGGAAGCTACAGGCTGCGGAGCAGGTGGTACGGGGAGGCAGCCTTGACTTCTGTGCTCACTGAGGGTCCAGGAACATGGACCCACGCGCTGCTTGCAGTTTGGGGTGGGATACACATTGGGCTGCGGACATTGGCAGTCCCTGCTCACCCAGCGTCTCCTCCGCCTCCTGGTGACAGGGCTCTGGGCTGCTGTGGAGCCGTTGCTGCCTCACTCCGAGAGCCCATGGTTTGGGTGAGGCCCGACTCCGGCCCCAGCTCCTGCCACGGGCCCCTGCCCCAGCTCTGCTGACCCAACGGGAGTTTTACCTGGGACTTCTGCAGGAACTGTTAAGGAAGAGAATTCTCTCTGCTGGGGTAGCTTAGCAGGCAGGACTAACTCCTGAGCGGCTGGCAAACCCAAGAAGCACAGACCCAGAGAGAAGACAGAGTCCCCACGTTATCATCCTAACCCGGCCTAAAAATCTATCGCACACCCTTTGTTTTTCTCGCATACTTTGTGTAGATTTTTTTTTTTTTTTTGACAGGCAAAGTTAGACAGTGAGAGAGAGACAGAGAGAAAGGTCTTCCTTCTGTTGGTTCACCCCCAAATGGTCACTATAGCTGGCGCGCTGTGCTGATCCAAAGCCAGGAGCCAGGTGCTTCTCCTGGTCTCCCATGGGGTGCAGGGCCCAAGCACTTGGGCCATCCTCCACTGCACTCCCGGGCCACAGCAGAGAGCTGGACTGGAAGAGGGGCAACCGGGACAGAATCCGGCGTCCTGACCGGGACTAGAACCCGGGGTGCCGGCGCCAGAGGCGGAGGGTTAGCCTATTGAGCCGCAGCGCCGGCAGATTTCCCATCTTTTGAAGCCAAGGCCAGAGTTCCAAGTAATATAAGAGTTTTCTAAAATTGTTTTGCCATTAGAAGTAAGCGTGCTCAGGACTTCTTTAAGGATTCTGTAACTCAAGGTCCCCGAGTCACTCTATCCGAGCCCCTCTTAGAGAGAACCAGCCCTCGGCAGCTTCTGGCCCTCCCTTCTCGAGTGCGTGTCAGAGAACACATTCCCCGGAGTGGCAGGGCCACCGTTTGCAGAGCCCCCTAGGCCTGGGTCCAGATCCCAGCTCCGCCAATCACCAGCACGTTACTGATTCGATTTTCACTGGAGGTCTGGCAGAAGGTGGGTAGTACTGGGCCTTCTGCTGTGAGGATTCTAGCCTTCCTGATCTACGATGACTTGATGGTGTTCTGAAAGATCAAGTTTACACCGCACTTAATTTCCCAAACGAGGCAGCATCAGGAAAACAGTAGGTGCTTCACGCACGCTGGGTAAGTACGTAGATGAGCAGAGAGTGAGGACCGTATGCACGTGCTCGGTGCACCACGGTGGGCGGAGACAGCGGGCTTCCTCTTCTTTTGGAGCAGGGCTCACAACGCCAGCATCACCTGGGTCAGGCAGGTAATGAGCTGGTGCTGTGGAATCAGGAGTGTCCCTTCTCAGTGGGTCAGACACACTTAGCTCCCACCACCTGCTGTCCCTTGGGGATATGGCTAGAGAGGCCAGATCTTTCAAGAGAAGCCAGGGATGAGAGTTTTTAGGTAAAATTTTCTGACTGTCAAACACAGTCACGGTTACACACACACACACACACACGTCTGAGCCCGTGGGTAGCCAGTTCATCACACTTAGAATCTGTGTCCCAATCCCTCCTTCATGTCCAAGCTGGGCCCACGGCCATGGGTGACCGAGAGACAGTGATTGTACGCACCCGCGAGGGACTCGGAGCTCTGGCTGGCGACGCTGTGAGATGCCTCCTGGAGGACGTAGGTGGACGAGGAGAGGGGCGAGGGGCAGATGCCGCTGGCCGGGACGTAGGGAGGGTTGTAGGACGAGCTGTAATACTGGGAGTACTGGCTCTGAGGGAAGCCTGGGTAGGAAGGGTAGTCCTGGGGAGGAAGACAAGCCTGGCCGTGAGCGCCCCAGTTGGCCGCGGCCCCCCCGCCCCCACCTCTCCTCCAGTGGAACACAAACTCCCAAGGGCAGGCACCGTCTCTGCTTCCGTCTTCCCAGGAGCAGATCCCAAGACAAGGACCCGGGTGTGGGTCGGGAGGGGGTGAGAAGCGAGGCAGGGAAGCGCGGAAGGGCAGCGGCTGGAGCAGAGGGGGCTGGAGCTGAATCCCCCCGGGGACGGCTGAGACGGTGGAAAAGGCCCATCTCAGAACTGCTGCAGCCCAGGGCCAAGGGCACTGGGGTTTCTACGCCACAACCCAGGGCCAAGGGAGCCGGGGTTTCTACACCAGAACCCAGGGCCAAGGGAGCCGGGGTTTCTACACCAGAACCCAGGGCCAAGGGAGCCGGGGTTTCTATACCAGAACCCAGGGCCAAGAGAGCCGGGGTTTCTACCAAGGGCACTGGGGTTTCGACGCCACAACCCAGGGCCAAGGCAGCCGGGGTTTCTACACCAGAACCCAGGGCCAAGGCAGCCAGGGTTTCTACACCAAACTCCAGGCTTTCAGAGCAGCCCTCAACGGGTTTTCACTCGCTAGCACTTCCTGCCTGTCCTACACTCTGGTTCCAAAGAAAACTCCAGGCCCAGGGATGCACATACGGCAGCTGGAGGTCAGCAGGTGACCCTGAGGGGCAGGGTTGCCATGACAGCCTCTGACTTGGTCCCTGCTGTGGCCCAGCCCCTGGACCAGTGCCTGGTACATGTGGTCACTCAACAGATGTTGGCTAAATTAACGAGCCAATGAATGGATGAGGACCACACCCACATAACCCCAGTGGAGGGGGTGACATTTTAGGTTCATGGTGGACAGAGGTGCAAACACAGCACCTGCACAGCATGAGGACCCACGGAGTCCAGAATGTTCCATGAGGGGTCATGGAGGTCAAATCAACAGATGCCAATCATCTTTGCCCAGACCGACCAGCTTTGGCAGCCCTTCCGCAGGGACACCGCCTCACTCTTCCCGCACTGGTGAGGGACTCCCAGCATGCTTCGCTCCCTGGGCCCCACCCCGCTCAGCTGACAGCACTGCCTGGGAGTCTGCATTTTTGGAAAGTTCTGAGGGTGGAGCAGGCAGCAGACCTTACAAAGTACGGTCTGATTTACACATATTTCGTCCATGTGTATAATACACTGGAAATGAACAAATGGGGGAACAAGTTTTCATATTTTCTAAGTTTTAAATTATTTACATTCTTCAGCACACTGAAGAAAATAGTATGCATTCCTGACATTCAGTAGTGTTAAATACCCCTAAAACTCATCTGAGTAGCTTTCTAAAAAATACTTATTTGAAAGGCAGTTATGGAGACACATGGTGGGGGAGACTGATCTTTCATCTGCTAGTTCACTCCCCAAAAGGCCCCAACAGCCAGGGCTGGGCCAGGCCAAAGCCAGTGGCCAGGAGCTTCATTTGGGTCTCCCACGTGGGTGGCAGGAGGCCCTCAGGCCGTCCTCTGCTGCTCTCCCAGGTGCATTAGCAGGGAGCTGGGTTGGAAGTGGAGCAGCCGGGACTTGAACTGGTGCCCGTATGAGCTGCCAGCGTCACAGTGGTGACTTAATCTGCTACACGGCTAGCTTGAAAGTATGTTCACCTTTTGTTCCAAAATCATTTTAGGCTTGCAGGAAAGGTGCACAGATCAAGAGGTTCATTCTTAATTCAATCTCTAAGCGAAACCAAGAGAATCCAAACAGTGGCCAGCACTCATGTCTACAGGGTCGACTTTGTTCAAGGTACAAGCATTGATCATGCCCCTGCTGTGTGCTGGGCTCCGTGCCAGGCTGCAGAGGTCAGCAGGACGCCCCCCACGGCTCTCCTGGAGCTCATGATCTGGTGAGGGGCTGGTTCATCTGCACTCAACAAGCAATGGGTTGAACTGGGCTCAGGGCAAGACTGAATATCGACTGCCCCCATCTCGGACATTTAGCAATGCCAGTGTCTCTGCCTGCAGACCGGCTCTCCAGCGGCCGGCCGCAGTCAGGCCCCCGTGGACTCCGCCCACGAGAACAAGGGGCTGGGTTTCTGGGGGGGGGTGTGTCGTGCACGGCCCTGGGCTCGCAGGGTGTCCTACTTTAAGGGAGCCAACCAAGGGGAGGGCTGGGAAGGCGGTTGCAGGGTCCTGGCTACCTGGTGGACACTCCCGAATCCGGCCGCGTTGGGCAGTCCATTTGAGCCTTGATAGATGCCCGCCGTGCCTGCGGAAAGAGGAACAGGGGTGCAGGTGAGGTGATGATCAGAGCGGGTGCCGGAGGACAAGGACGTGGTGACAATGGGGTCTCTGGGGTCTCCCAAGCTAGGACTGAACCCCTGGCTTTGGCTACCAAATCTCATCCGTTTCCTCTGTAAACGAGGAAAAGAAATAACATCTTCTTTGAAGGAAATTTGATATAAAACAAACAAAAGGGTACACACAATACAGATTCTGGTCCCTGAAAACTACATTTTTAAACAAATTCTTTGCTTTTGAAACATTTTGGTAACATACACCTGACAAGAAGTTGTCATCTTTACCATTCACCGTGTACAGCACTGAGTGTGTTCACACTGTGGGGCAACCATCGCCTCCATCCATCCCAGAACCACCTGCACCTTGGGAGACTGGGACACACTGATTCCTCGCTCCTCCCTGTGCCCAGCCCTGGCAGCTGCTGCTCCTGCTCTCGACCTGTCAGGGACCGGCTCCTCTCACGTTAGCACAGCGTCCTCACGGCTCACCCGTGCTGGGGCAGCTGTCAGAATTCCTTCCCTTTTTAAGGCCGAGTAATACCGTTCCATTACATGAATGGACTTCATTCACTCCTTGCTCTACGGACACGTGGGTGGTTTCCACCTGTTGGCTCTTGTGAATAAAGTGGCTAGGGACGAGGGCACACACCTCTCTCTGGGAGCTGCTTTAGGTTCCGTGGGGGCACACCCGGGACGGCAACTGCTGGGTCCTATGGTGGCTGAGTTTCTGGCACTTTCCAGAGGGTGGCCCAGCTCGCATTCCTACCAACCGTGCACGAGGGTTTCAATTCCCCCGCATCCCTGTCAACGATTATTTTATTATTATTTTGCATTTATAGTAGCCCCCCCCCCCCATGGGTGTGGTGGCAACGGGGCTTTGAGCAAATGAATGGAGTGACCGCACCGCTCCGAGCTGCAGTCGACCTGGCTATAACGTGGGGTAGGGATCGGGGGAATGCTCCTGGCACTACCAGCAGATGCTGCTTGGTGAACGACTCCCTAATGGATAGGTGAATGACGTCACCGAAGACAGGGTGGGCAAGGAGGGCCTCTCTGAGATGATCCTGGGCTGAGACAGGCTAGGCCAGGAGCAGCCCTCAGGCAGAGTCTTTGCAAACTCTGACGGCACACCTTGTGAGGCGGGGGCTGGCTGGGCAGGCTGGAGAAACAGACGCAACAGTGCAGGGGCCCAGAGCGAGAAGAGGGTGGGCGCAGCAGCCGCAGAGGCCTCGTGGGAATCAGGCACCGTTCTGAGCTCTGCGAGGCCAGGGTGAAGCACAGAAGTGTGACGTAACCGCCCAAGGCCTCGCACGTTGTCCACTGCAGCAGCTGGGATGGGGCCAGACAGCCGAGCCGGGCCTGTGGTCTCCAGACACAAACTCTAGGCGCTTTGTATTCATCACTGATCTATCCATCATCTTTCAACTACTTAGATATCTATCATAACTACTCATCATTGGTCTACCACCCATCTATCATCTGTCAATCTATATCTATCCAATTTATTTGAAAGGCAGAGCATGAGAGAGAAAGAGAGAGAGAGAGAGAAACAGAGAGAGAGAGAGAGAAAGGAGGAGGAGGAGGAGGAGGAGGGGGGGGGGAGGGGGAGGGGGAAGGGGAGGGGGAGGGGGAGGAGGAGGAAATACATATATATATATATAGAGAGAGATATCCTTCATCTACTAGGTTCTCTTCAAATGCCCACAATAGTCAGGGTTGAAGCCTGGAGCCTGGAGCCCCATCCGGGTGTCCCACATGGGTGGCAGAGATCTAAGTGTTTGAGCCATAACTGCTGCCTCCCAGAGCAGGCATAGCAGGAGGCTGGATAGGAAGCAGAGGCACCCACAGGAGATGTGGGCACCCCAAGCAGTGGCATAACTGCTGCACCTCAGTACTGGCCCTGCTGCTTCTTTAAAAAATATTTATTTGAAAGGCAGAGTTACAGAGAAGGAGAGGCAGGGGCAGAGAGACAAGAGAGAGGTCTTCCATCTGCTGGTCCACGCCCCAAATGGCCGCAACGGCCAGAGCTGGGCCAGGCCAAAGCCAGGAGCTTCATCCGGGTCTCCCTTGTGGGTGCAGGGGCCCAGGCACTTGGGCCATCTTCTACTCCTTTCCTAGGCACGTTAGCAGGGAGCGGGATCGGAAGTGGAGCAGCCGGGATTTGAACTGGTGTTCACATATGCTGGCACCGCAGATCGTGGCTTAACCCCCTGCGCTACAGCGCTGCCTGCCCCCCACTTCAACAACTCTCAGAGTAAGTAACTGTGTACTTATCGCCAGGATCCAGTAGGGCAGTTCTATCCTCCAATGTTTTTCTGTGCTCATTGGCTTCGATCCCCACGCCTATCTCCAGCCACAAGCAGCCGCTGGTCTGTTGCCCATGCTGCAGGAGCCTCTCCAGAAATGCCCCTCAGCTGGGCCCCTCCAGTCGGGCTCACGTGCGTCTGGCAGCTCCCCCTCGGCACGACTCGGCAGTGTCTGCTTGCTGTCGCCGCCCGGCGCTTCATGGTGTGGCCGTGCAGCGTGCCGTCTGTGGCGATCCCAGAAGACGCAGGTAGCACCTCTCGCCCGCCAGTGCTTGTGCATGTGTGCACGTTTTCACCTCTCCTGGGGAGATCCCCAGCAGTGGAACTGGGGAGCTGTGTGGCAGTGGCGAGTTGAACTTCTTCAGAAACGGCCACACTGTTTTTCCCCTTTCCACTTCTACAAGCAAACTGTAAGAGTTCCAGCGTCTCCAGCACGTGGCACCTTGGGTCTTTGGATTACAGCCATTCTGGTCGGTGTTAGTGGTTAACTCATCACGGGTTCAGTAGTGTTTCCCTAATGACCACTGGTACCGGTATTCTTCATGTGCTCACTGGCCATTCATAAGCAGCAATCTGAATCTTTCACCCTTTTTTAAAAAGTTAGGTTTGTCTTCTTGCTGGTTTACTCCCCAAATGGACGCCATGGCTGGAACTGGGCCAATCCGAAACCAGGAGCCAGGAGTTTCTTCCAGGTCTCCTATGTGGGTACAGGGGCCCAAGGACTCAGGCCATCTTCCACTGCTTTCCCAGGCCATAGCAAAAAGCTGGAATGGAAGTGGAGCCAGGACTCGAACCAGCGGCCATATGGGATGCCGGCACCACAGGCGACTACCTGCTATGCCACAGCGCCAGCCCCTCTTCATGGCGTCTTGAAGAGCAAACGCTTTTAAGTCCTCAATTCTTTCTTTCATGGATCTTGGCTTTTGTTACCCAACTTAAAGATTCTCTCTGTGTTTTCATCTAGAAATTGTATAGCATCAGTGCTTATACTAGGTCCTATGATCCAATTTAAGTTCATCTTTGTGCATGGTTGAGGAACGGGTTTAAATAACTCTGTGTGCACAGTCGCTTCAGCTCCACCGTAAAACATCTACTCTCTCTCCTGCGGGATCGCCTGTCCCGTCTGCCAAAGGCAATTGGCCACAATGTTAGCATTCTGGGCGCTCTGCTGCTTCGCTCATGTATCAGTCCATCCCGGCTCCACCCTGTCTTGATTTCCGAAGCTTTACCCTAAGTTCTGAAATCAGGTAGTGTAAGTTCTCCAACTTTGTTCTTTTGCAAGCAAGTTTTGGATTCCACTTGTTTTGCATTTCCATACCGATTTTAGAACAGGCTTGCCGACTTCTACTGAAAGCCAGCTGGGGTTCTGACAGCGATTGGACTCAGTGACTCTAGTTGTCCTTTTCTAAGAGGAGGGCAGAGAGGAAGGACAGTTGGGGCTCGATGCTGCAGGACCAGCGACCTGGAAAGTGCTTTGTGTTCAGGGCGTGAGCATGGTCAGCTGCCAGACGTCTTGAAGCAGGGACTGATGCAACCGGACGCCTGTTTGCAAACAGTCACACGAGCTGCTGGGATGCTCAGAGACTCACATCAGATCCGAGGCTCCAGAGCCCAGGCTGTTTCTACGGAGTGGCTGGAACGGGCACACGGACTCCAGGGACTCTCCGGCTGGGGGTGTGGAAGGACCACGGCCACCTTCAAGCAGGTTCGAGATGACGGATCTGTCGGACCACAGCGGCTCACTCTTTGCTTCAGAATCTCCCAAGGGGCTTCAAAACAACGGGGTGAAGACTCCACCCACACACAGTCTGATTCCAGTTCATCTGGGGTGGGGCCTAGGCATCAGTATCAACACAACGCAACGCAGCTCTGAGAACTGAGAGCCAGCAGATGATGCCAGCACCTTGACTGTGCAATGGGGGAAGGCACACGGAGCCGATGCTGAGCCAGGGACACTCGGATGCAGATGGGAACTCGGGCCCGACTCCCGCTGCCGGCCTGGTTTCCCTGGGGGACACGATTTCTCTACCCGTGAGTGAGTTCACGCAAGCATTCAGCCATTCAGCCAATGGAGGCTACTCTGGGATTTAAGAGTCAAGCCCTCTGTCCGTCATCTCGCTTCCTCCTCACACCAGCCTTGAAAGGAAGCTACAATCAACACTCCCATTTGCCAGACAGAAAAACTGAGGCTCAGGAAGGTAACCTGCCCCAGGTTAAAGAGGTGGTAGGCTGTGGAGCTAGGATTCCTTCTTTGATTAGCTCCTACGCAAAGGGCCAGGACACGGGCGAAGCAGTTTGCACAACAGCAGATTCTCATCAGGCACCATGGAGACCAGCGGGAAGCAGCACAACATTTTCCCAAGGCTTAAAGAAAAGGACCCGCAAATTGGAATTCCATATCCGGGGATGACGTCACTCAGGAACGGAGGGAAAACCAAGACATTCTCAAATGCAGACGGAGTAGGAGAACTTGCTGGGGAGTTCTGCTCTAACAGATGGGTACGGGAGGTGCTTGGAACAGAAAGGTCACGATTAAAAAGAATCCTGAAACATCCGGAAGGAAGGAGCGAGGAGGGAAAGAGCAAAATGGGGGCAAAGTCACCGAGTGCTGATGCCGCCACTCAACTCACAGGTGGATTTCATTGGTTTCCGCTTGCTGGCAA